AGTAAGGCATTTTGCCAGGAATTCTTACTTGCTGGAATAGAGGAATTCATAGCATGTGTAGGCATTTGGATTTCAAGTACACTGTAGGCAATTAATGTTTATGTGGTGGATAAGTTCTCTACCTTAAAAAAATAAATGCACACATCTGCATGTTTATTTTTGTGAGTGACATCTGTTTTATATATGAAAGCAGTACAGAAGTTGGCCTTAACATGTAGAAACATATGTGCGAACACACATCACATTCATTGGTTTAACCTGTCACCCAAGGGTGTATGTGTGTGTGTATGTGTGTGTGTGTGTGTGTACATGCTTGTGTGTGATTTAATTCTTTAAGAACCACAGATAAGGTATAAGGCCACAGACTTGTAATAGTGCAAAAATAAAAGTAGCTAGATAGATGATGATGAGTATAACACAATCAAAACAAGCCAGTTTCATTAAGAAAATTTTGAGAGCTTCGATATCATTTTTATCATGCAGCTGTGGCCTACTATGACCTTTTTTACTCGATAGCCATTCTGGTCTTTTTCTTCTCTGCAGATAATCTTTGATCTTAAGATATCTCTTGATCTCCAGGAGTATAGACTATGGTCTTTCTAATTCAGTCCCAAAATATAATTCATGATCAACCTAAGGCAGGTTCCCTTCCTCTGGCCAGTAATTGTCTTAAAGGTATGCAATCAACCCATTTCTATCCAAATGAGATATTTGTGGAAGTCTGCGTGAGGGGTGCAGTGAACATCCCTATGTGAATGAAGGAGACACTATGTGAAAGAGGATTGAAAATAGCAAAGAGAAAACTGCTTCTCCTTCCCCAGGTGGCCTGCCTTCATGGCATAGTTGTAGGTACAGCAACATTTGAAGACCCTAAAGGAAAAGCTAAGAGAATCATGAAGATTTCAATCATGATATCTCTGAGATGATAAATTAATGCCAATTGCCTTCTACAAAACTTCATTATGTGCTAAAAATTAATCATTATCTGTTGAAGCTATTGTATTTAGATATCCTGATGCATGTAATGAAATACATGTTTAACAAATACAGGCATCATTCCACTGGGGGTGAGGGAAATAAGCAAGGAAACTTCTGGTCTATACCACATTTTGGTCAAATGTACTGGTCTCTATTAAATTAGTACTGCCTGGTGGCATCAGGAAAAACGGATACAAAAACTGAGGACTTTATGATTTCCTACTAACCATGGCTACCTTCAAACATAAGGTCGGAACCTGAGTATGCAGTCGGTCATATGGCCAAGATTATGCCAGGTGGGTGTTAATGAAACAAATGGGTGGTTTCTACAAACTAAATGTATGAGGGTCTTTCTGATTCTTCCTACCTGAGAAGATTTTTTATTCATCCATAACACTCATCTGTGAAGAGCTATGTGATAAAAGATAACATTATCGGAATATGCAATCAGACTATAATTAACCTGAAATGACAATTATAAATAACACTGTGTCCCAGAGTTTCCAAGAAACCTGACATACACAGTTTTTGGGTATGTTGAAACACTTCCAAGAAAAGTAAAAAAAATGAGAAATCTTTTAGAAGTCTTCAATTAAAATGTGTTTTAGTAAAAATGACTTTCATTATGTGTTTTGGTGCATATTACTAGAAAACATTTGTCCCTATCTTCACACCTCTAATTGTTTTTACTACCAATTACAGCTTTTCAGAATTAAGACTTTCTACTTGGGACAACCATGTTGGTCATTTGAAATCTGGAGAAAAGTTACTATGTATAAGGTTTATGTACTCAAGAAAACAAATCTCTACTACAGGATTCCAACCCAGGGATCTCAGGTCATGCTATCACCTCTCAGACCTCAGACTAATGGAAGCTGGGAAGCACCAGGCTGTTTTTTTTTTTTTCTCTTTTCCCCTTTCCTTTCTCCCAGTTCTTTTCTATATGTTTTTTTTTTTCTTTTATCTGCCACCCACACCCCTACTCCTCCACCCGTCTTCACCCCGGCTATCCTTACACCTCACATACTTTCTGGGTTTAGGAATCTGGGAGTATTGTCTTAGTGAGAGAAATGTTCTTTTTTTGGTATTTGAATGATGTGATAGAGTACAAAAAATTTATCATATCTTCTGTTTATGTCTTTCAAATGAAAGCAAAATTTCAAACCAACCACTGATCTACCTATGCTCTGGCTATGGATAAAGTTGGGCAATTATAAAAATCTATGAAAACGGTAGGTATTAGGAGAAAAACAACACAATAGGCATAGTGATGTTACTTTATGTGGAAGAATAAGCAGCCACCTTTGTCAACTCAGGTATAGAAATGATCTGATATGCTGAGCAAAATGGGTGGGGTCTTTATTCACTTCTTACAAGTAGGCTTACACATAGAGGCCATGGTTAACAGTCAAAATAATTTGATTTAAGCTATATACTTTATAAAGGCAAAGGACACACTTTCTCATTCAATACAGTATCTCAAGCTCACTATACCACCCCTCCTACATAGCAGGTGTTAATTAAAGGATATAAATTTGACATTATCTCATTCCCATGAGTTGCACATAAATCAATCATCCGTATTACAGAAATGACACCCAAGCTAGTTCAACAGAAAAAGGCAACCACAGTTAATACCTACTTCTCAGCTTCAAAATCACACTTTCATTGTCAGGTATCAAGGTGTCATTCAGATCCTTCTGCTGAAAATATTTACTTTCACCTTACAGAAGTTTGTCATACTGTTACAATAATGGAACTGTTTCACTTCTGTATTTTAAGATTTTCACTTAAAAACCCATGAAAATATAAAACTGTAGTTGGTGATATAACTCAACTGCATTGAAAGTGCATGGTGAAGAGATTTGGGAATGACAGCCTTTTTGAGAATGAAGACATCTTAACTGGCCAACAGATTTTGGCAGGTATGACTCAAAAAATAGGTTTCTAAAAGGTTATAATGCTACAAAAGAGAAAGGGGAACTGTAGGCAGTAGTGTTCAATAAGAGGCAATTCTCACTCGTGCAACACAAATAGAGAAGGTGCTAATCAGAGAAAAAAAGTATGATTGTGGAGGTGGAACAAGAAGTGGAAATAAAGTCCCCTAACAATGGACAACTATGGAGTAAAGTGAATGCAGATGGTTCCACTCCTGGTACTTAATCAAAAGGCTGAGCAGAGTCACTGGAGCCGGCATAAAGTCATGTGTTAGAACAACAGCTGATCTGTATTAGAGAAGATTAACTCGCAGTGCCATGGTGGAGGGCCCAGGATTATTTTATGTACTTCCATTGCCTTACAAGCCGTCAGCACAATTATTGCCCTCCGATCTGAATGAGTGATCTGTAACCACAGCTAAACAGCATGCTGCTTAGGGGCCTAGGAGCTTCATGAAGATGAATTTCCATACCATCAAAGTGCTTTTAATGGGCTCCCTGATCCAACCACAAGGCCTGTTTTGCAAGTATATAGAACTCAGGATGAAGGCTTCCTGTCCAAAAGGATTTGGTCGGTTGTCACTTGACAATTCCCAGCCAGCACAGGGGAGGAGAGGGAGGGGATAGGTAGAGTTGTCTCTGCTTTGGAGGATTAAAAAAAAAAAAAGGGTACAGATGCTTGCTGAATGCAACCAACTGCTATATCCACAGCTGAATTCAATGCGCTTAACAAATAACGGCAATTTAGCTATGCTTGCGAGGAATAGCTTGAGTCACTTTGCATTAGCATCTGGCTGAGTGTTAAACTCATTTCTACATGGGGAGCAGAGAAAAGGAATTTCTGTTCAAGCATCCTTTCAAGAATGTTTAAATATTTGAATATAAATTCCTTTATGCTTGCTATCATTCCTTCTTAGAGCTGTCACTTTGCTTTTCCCCTTCCCTTCTGGTGCTTAGCTAGAAAAATTTTGTGTCCTTCTCCCCGTACCAGTGTCGCTCTTCTTCTTCTGTTGTGTGATTACCAGAGATGTACACCTAACCATGCTTTCCTTTCCCCTCTAGGTACAGAGCAGAATTGAAGTCATTTTTCCATCCTTTTGACCCATGTTTGGACCAGGGTTGTGACAGGATTCCACGTAGATTTCACCTTCACTATGCAGGTTGTGAGCTTCTTAGAGATTGCACATCAAATTCCATACAAAGCCAGGGAAACCAGCGATCTATCAAATTAGCAATCTGCTCATTCTGGACAACCCCGTTTGACTCGCAAGCTTTCCATGATGGCTAACTTTCAAGTTATTGCTAAGTAGCTGATCATTTTTGTTCTCCTATTTACTTTATCTCCCTAGCTACAGGATTGGAAAGACAAGACTCAGTCACATCTTAAAATTTCAAATCAGAAATATCAAATATGATCAAGATAAGTACATCACTCTGAGCTTTTTATAATGACATAATATTTTTTTCTGAGTAAAATACAATGTAGCTTAGACAAAAGTGTTTGAAATGATTACATCTAAGATAAATTCAGAAGTTTCACTGGGCTTACGTATAATAACAATGTCCAAGTTTTAAAGAGCACATTTTGTTTTATAATAAAGTCAAAATTTCCAATTGTGCATCTAAAACTTGACAGTGCTTTGCAGTGGAAACATATTATGACAGCTTCACGATCCTAGTTACTTAGGCTATGAGCATGTGTATCATCCAAGCTTATGCTGATTAAAGAAGATTCAGCATTTTCAAATCCAGCTCATCCCCAAATACAAGTTAAGCATCTCTGTAAAGCAAAACTTTCACTCAGACTCTGATATTTCAAATGCCATTCCACTTTAATGCAAACTGATGGCAGAAAGAGGGATATTAATTATCAATAAGGTCTGGAGATGGATAGAAGAGAATTATAACTCTTCTCATTTCCAGATGGTTTTGATTAGGATGGGCATGAAGATTTCTATACTGACAGAGGGGGAAAAAGGGAGGGAGAACCATCATTCTGAGGTGGTGAGAAAATGAGAAAACAAAGAAAAAAAGCATTTAGGCAATTTAAGTAGTTTTGGAAAGTCAGTTATTTTATGAACTAACCTTTTCTGTCCGGCAGTTATTGAGACCTAGACTATTCACAACAGCCACCTTCCCATCAAGCACCTGTTGTTCCCGTCGGAGCTGCTCCTTCATTTGCCGAGCTTCTTGGATGGCCTTGGTGACAGCATCATGGTCATTTAAATAACCTGAGGGTGTGACAGAACAAAAGCTATGTTTTGTACAAATGTGTGAATAGGTTAACCTTCAACCAGAAAAAAAATCACGTCTTTTTTTGGATAATGACTGGCGTCTGGCATATAATAATTTCTCGATTTCATTTGTCTAAAATGAATGAATGAATGAGTAATCATTAATGCCTGCTTCACACGGTCATGCATGAACGCAGTGCCAAGCATCTGTGATGCAAATGTAATACTGAAGTGAAATATGGTTGTTTCCACATGCTTGGAGAGAAATTTAAAATGTAATTTATTTTATAAATTTATAATTCATTTTTAAACGAACTTTTGTCATTTTGTATTTTGTAGTGCAAAAATGAAACCTATCTGACTTTTTTTTTCACGTAAGGCTCATTTGAATGCTAACATAGGATAGAGGTATTGATCATTATCACTCTGATTATTGACATTCTCATTGTATTAGAAAGGTCAGTTTAGAGTTTGCGTATTGCACTGTTACGGTTGTTATATACAGAAAGAACACATCATTACTAACTAATTGAAAGAAGCTCGTTCCCCTCGAAATCCACTGATGGAGAAGTAAACCACAGGTGGCAGTGGTCTGCTATGATTACAAACTTGTAAGAGTTATGGGCTAAATTTCAAGCGCAGAATGTAACCAAGCACCTGTGAGTTGTATGGTAGGAAACTGTGGCTCCTGAAAACTACAGTCACACTTAATTCACACTCTTAATAAGATGGTCAAATGGCCAACTTGCATCTACAGCAGCTCCACAATCCAGAGTGAGTAAAAAAAAAAAAAAAAAAATTGTCAAAATTTTTCTTTTAAAGAATCACAGGTGTAAGGAGCAAAACTAATTTTTAACTTAATTTTAACACCGGTCATTTATTTATTTGATACACAGTATTATGATCACCCGCAGGACTTCAGGGTAGAGTACCGATGGGAAAAGACTGTTTCATAAATATTGAAAAGAAAGCTAATATATCATCTTTCACTCTCCCTATCTTTTAACTAGGGCATAAAATGGCATAAACTGAATCTATAATATGCAATTGCCCAGAAAAGGGACTTGTTTGTGACATGAGGCTAAATCTAACCAGATCCATTGGTGAATTGTGACAGATGGAGGGACTGTGAGACAGAAGGCAGGCACTAATCACACATAAAATGACCGGCTTGCCTCAACATGTTCCATGGATTCCAGCAAACTTTACACCCTAATCCATTTTTAGAACAAAAAACATCTGGGCCATAAATCCTCTAATCTGCCAAAACACGCTATTAAATCCCATGATTTGTTGAAAAACACTAAGATTAAAGAAAGGAAATATAAAATGGCTAACTGCCGTGTTAGGAAAGTGTTATTAATACTCTTTCTTTGTCTCAATTATGAATGTTCTGGTACTAAAGAGCCTTGTCTAATCATTTCAGATTACACATCCTCGTCATATTGCTAGACTCTTCTATCTGATCTGTTGATTGCCAAAAAAACATAGAATACTTTCTTGCTGCTTAGACATTTCTATTGAAGAAGTTGATGTCAGATTAGTGCAGTGCTTCAGTGCTGGAGGGTTTCGAAATGATCCATGCTCTCCCCCCAACCCCCTTGCTATGCACAGACTAGACTTCATCCTCTGATCTCCTTGAGATAGAAAGACAAGTTCCAGTGTAGGCGACACAAAGAAGAGCCTTGAGAGCCACTATGTGTTTTGCTTTTCAGAGCGAAATTCATTGGAACGTATTCAAAGAACAAAACATCCTTGCTCATTATAAATACAATATGAATCGTAAACAACTATTTAGACCTAGGTCAAGCCTTTAGGGTTAATGTTTAAATTATGGTTGTTTTTAACCTTATATTATCCTCAATATCCTGTCTTGGTTCTCATGAACAACCTTCTTAATATATTATTCTTGATTATTCTGTTTGTGAACACTGCTACTCGAGAAAGAAATAGAGCTCTTAGAGGACAGTGATGGTCTCAGTATATGTTCCTTTAGTAAAAGATCTTAAGAGGATCAGCCTGATTGTCCTATGCTCTAACCCCTGTATATGTACAACCTGGCATCATGCATTTTTGCCATCTATTTAGCTTCTTCAGAGAACAAACACATTTTGAAATGGTTTGGCACATAGCATTGAGCTAAAGTATGAATTCTTTTTGTTTTTAGGTGCTGCAAGATAACATTGTGCAGGAAAAATGATTAATATAGATGCAAAAGGCATGCAAATCATATGGGGGTGAACAACTGACAGACATATGTTCTGTAATGTCTATTTCCAGTTTGAGGTGTGTGTTCCTATGCAGGTGGAAATAAGCGTTCACTTTAAAATAAACCTTCTTGCTTTTAGAGACTCTTGAATTTCAGTTAAAATGCTATATGAAATCTTAAATATTAAAGGCATTTATATATTACAGAGTTGAATAATAATAGGACTCTTTGCCTATTCTTTACATTTTATTCTCATCACAGTCACCAAATTACCAATCATGCTGATTCCCTCTCTTGGCAAATGGCTTCACCTCTGATTGTGGAAAGACCAATAAAGCTGAGCTTTCACCTTCCCGCCCTACTCCCACCCTGACTCCTACCTCCTGCGAGCTTCAAATCTGTCTTCATTTTTGCCTATTGCCCCCTCCTGCTTCAGTGAAAATGGTGCCTCTACTTTTATTCAAGGCAAATACCCTAAACTCATGCTCTAGATTTCTATACATCTCCATTGGTCATTCTCTTTCATATTTATGTCATCCATATCTGAACTTCCTCACCATCTCTATTGTAAGTTTCTCCACCTGAGACAAGCAATTTGTAAGTAAGTTTTTCCACCCGAGACAAGCAAATAAGTTTCTCTTTCAACTTTGTGTTGCTCTCTTTCCAACTGTCTCTCTCTTTACCTTCTAAGATTCTAATCATACTCTCCCATTACTTCTTTGCTCTTTCATTTCTGCTACAGTTTTGTTTCTGTGCCTTTGCTCTTTTAAGTTGTCAAATCCAAGGGACACTTGCCATGGCTTGCAGAATGACCTCACTAACAATCCCCTCATTATAGATACTCCTTTCTTCCTCGTTTCTCATCATAACCCGGGGTCTCCCTTCCTCTCTGCCTCCTCCATCTTCATATCCTTGCCTGGATCTGGTGTTCATCTCCTCCCTAGATTTGGTCCAAGGTTACGATCTTCAGAAAAAATTTGCATTTTGGAGCTGGACATGCCTGAATTAAAATCATAACTTTGCCACTTACAAGCTATATAAATTGTACATGTGATTTTTACCTTTTTAAATCTCAATTATCTTATTGGTTAAATAGAGATAGCATTCACCAGATAACATAAATGAGTTAATACAGTCTTGCATAATAAGTGGTCCATGAAACTTATTCACTGTCAATTTATTTATAAAATGGCATAGTGAAATAGGTAGGATTTAGGCATTGGATTCAGGTGGGTCTGGGTTTCTATTTCTTGGGAAGTGTGATATGTGCCAAACTATAACACATAATTTCATTGAATTTCCATTCTCATCAACTATAAAATGAATGTCAGGTTGATGGAAGAATTAAACAAAATATATCTTATGAAGGAGTAGATAACATTTGGTACCTGAGGAGGCAGTAGAAAATGTTAATTCCTTTCTTTTCTTTTCTCTTTCATTTTCTCTATTTGCTCACCCTCAGCAGTCTTACTGTATGGCTTTGACCATAATGATAAAATCTGTGAAGGGATATAATTTCTTGGTATAGAGGTTTGATGAAAGGGAATCACCCTATATACCCCCCAAATGATCACTTGATACATTTTATTTAGCCTTCATTATATATTTAGGCACCAACTGCATCATAAGATAGAATCGGAAGGTGGATATGGGCTTAGGCAAGTTTTGGTGAGCCTCAATCTTAAGAGGGAAGTGGGAAGGCAATGGTCAATATGGCTTCCTGTTAGCACTTCAAATGAAATTTGGGAAATGTAGGTGTAAGAAATTTGCAAGATTCTGTAACCTTGTTAAATTCACCACAGTTTGATTTTTTTATGCTTTGGTTTGTCTTCTTAATCACTACCAACAAAATTCTCAAAATTTCTATTCCCAGCAAAGGCCTGCCTCCTCCCACTCCCACCTCTGTCTCCCAAACTTTACTCTTTCTGATGTGTTTGGGACTTTATGCAAACGTCACCCCTTCTGTAAGGACTTCCCTGATATACCCCAGGCATGCTCCTTGGCAACATTAGAACTTCTCATCTCTATGCTCCTGCAGAACCTTATATATGCTTTTACTGTCACATTGCCTTCCATTTGTCTAAGTTTGTCTTTCACACCAATATTTGAATTACTTGAGGGCATTTTAAAATTTTCAATCTTTTATTCCTTTGGCCCATGACAGGGTCTGTTGAAGGTATAAACACATATTTCTAAGTTGAAAGTATCTACCTTTGTAATTCCAAGTTATTATCTATGTCATCACATTGATGGAAACCTGTGCCGTAATGACACAGATTTATTAAACTCACAGATTTAACAGATGCTATGCAGGCAATACAAATTCTTATTTACTACATATTTATTTTACATAGGACTTTTCAGCTAGAAGTAAAAGTAAGCACACATGTGTTTCAAGTTATTTTCCACAAATATTAATTTTTTTCTATTGTTGAGGTCACTTATCATCATCAAATTTTTGGCACCCTGATATATAGCCATTTCTTCATCTGTGAAAACTCACAAGAATTAATTAGATTATAAATGTGAAAGCAATTTGTAAATTGTAAAGTGCTATGCAAATGTTAATTGCCAGATGTTGAATAATACCCTCAACTCCCTGACAATCCACTGGCTTTCTATTAAACTCTTACAATATTTTTGTTTGATAACCCATCCTCATAGAAGCTTTTCTGATTAAAATTGTAAACTAATGAAACTTCAAGGTAATATCCTCCTTTATGTCACTGTATTTTAAATTAGAAAGTAATACAAATAAAGTACCAAATTAATGAACTGGAAAATTTTTTCCTTCATTCTATTGAACCAATGTAAGTCTGCTATATTTTCTCAGGAAAGTTTTGCTTCTTATGTGTTAATGTTTCTCAAGAATAAAGGGTAAGAATAACACATTCTAGATTCTTCCAAAGACTAAACAGTACAAGGCTGGAGGCATCTAAAGTCTCTCTCCAAGACTTCCAACTGCTCACCATCCTGCAAAATGCATGGCATAGAGAAGATATTTAATACCCATTTATTCGATGAATGAGTGAAAAGCTACATAAATGACTGAGAAGAACATCTAATGTGGAGAGCCTACCAACAGGCAACAGCTGAAAAGGGAGCATGCCAACCAGAGACCATGAATCCTATGGCCTCACCCTCTGCTGGCTATGAGTTTGGGCAAGTTACTAGGTCTTCGTGTAAAGTCGTTTTCTTGAAATTAAAACAGAGGAAATAAACATAGAGTCACAGAACTGTCTACCCTGTGATAGAAACTTACTTAGAATCCCTGGGTAAGCGTTTAGCCTCCTTAGGCCTTGGTTCCTTATCTGTAAAATAACAAGTTTTGACTGGATGATATGGATATCTGGACTATCTATTTCAGGGTCTATAATTCTAAAATTAGCTTCACTGATAAATAGATTAAAAATGCTTTTAAAATGTTTAAAGTATTATACATATGTACAACATAGGTGAAAAAGGCCAATAAAAGAAAGATAATATTTGGGCAAAAGATTCGAAACTTATCCATCATTCTTCTGAACTATTCATACCTTTTAAGGATCCCCTTTCTTTTGGAGCAACCTATGCTTTGCATACCATATCAAAGGCATTTTTACAGAATACATTGTAATATTGGTCACCAACCTCAAAAACTCACTTTCTATATTTGTAGCTAATAGATATATAGCAAAGAGCCCATGTTATTAGCGATAACTTAAGTTATCTTTTAGTTCACAGTTTTCCTTGGTTTATTAATGGCATAACACATTAATTCTTCTTTCAGGGGTGACCTTTACAACACCATTAATGTGCACAGCTTTTATCCAACTACATTATTACTCATTACAGTTTCAGCTTTCAACATCTGCATTTGCTGAAAAGAGAAAAGTAAATCGCAGTGGCCTCGAGTCCTTGGAATATATGAGAGATGTGTATGTGGTGAAGGGATTTTTCAGGAAAAAAAAATAAGAGAAGTTTTAGTCGTGGAGAAAGTCAGATGATAAATGTCATTAAATACATTCTTGCCTTTCTAAAATATTTTGTCATACTTAATCCCTGGAATGCTGAAGTAAAAATCCTCATATGATAAAAATGCAAATCTATGGGTTATTTTGTTAAATATTCTAGTTCTAGTGACATTACAAAAGTAGCTCATAGACCAGCGCTGTGATATTTCTGAGCCTTCATGTCTATTCTGGAAGTGAATCATTCCTGCCAGATAAAATATTTTTTCTTTTACATACTTAGGACATGAAAGCAATTCTTATCTTGGAGTCCATTTAGGATATGGAGCCAAGTAACCGAGTTAGGCCATAACAGAGTGCTGCATGATGATAAAAAATGTACATGTACCCCAAACCTTTTTCAAACTTTTCAAGACTTAAATTTTTCACAGTTTCTGCTCTCTCTGCTGCCCCACTGCCCCAGACTGGCTTCCTGTTGGCAAATAATCTGGAATTCTACTCTGTGGAGATTGAAGCATTTGAAAGACATTCCTTCAGCTTTTTCTTTTCTTCTTCTTCTTTTTTTTTTATCCACCCCACAATTTCTCTGCAACTTTACTCCCTTTTTTCCTTTGTTTTGTTCAGTCTCAGAAAAAAAAGAGTGGCTTTGCTCTTTTGCAAGGTTAATGCTTTCTCGTGATCTTTTGTCTTGTTCCATCATTGTGCTCTTTCATATCTTTATCTGTTTCTGACTCTTCTTCTTCTTGACATTATATATATAGTCACATATATATGAATGATTGTCCTATTTTAAACTTGTCTCTACGCAGTCCTCTTAAAATAATCACTTCTCAACACTAAGCTTACAAAAAGACTGATCTATAGATCAGCTGCATTTTCTCTCCTCATAGTCTTCAAATCATTGTGATTGAAATTCTGCTAAGACATGCTCCTAAAACTTCCCTGTCAGAGTTTACCTCTCCATGAGCTCCAGCTAAATCATAAAGCTTTTCTTTTGCATTTTTTTAACTTTTCCGTCATCAAATGCAACACTGTTAAATAACACCTCCTTTTTTGAAACTCATTTTTCCTAGGCTAGCATGACACGGCCCTATCTTCATTCCTATTCTAAGACAATCATTTGCTCTTTATCAGTTTTCCCTCTAAAAAGGTTTGCTGGTTTTAAAATGTGTACAAAGATATTTTGATATTCCTTCCTTCAGAGCTGGAGCCTAATACCTCTTCCTTTGAGTTAGGCTGCACTTGTGATTCTCTTATAACGAGAATAAAGTAGACTGGACTCTGTGTGACTTTTGAGACTAGGTCATAAAAGGTACTGTTGCTTTCTCTCTGTTCTCCCTCTTTGATCACTCAGTCTGAGGAAAGTTAGTTTCCATGCAATGAACAGCCCTACAGAAAGACTCGCCAGGCAAAGAATGGATCCTTTATTAAAACCAATGTGAATGAGACATCTTGAAAAAGGAACACCTATCCCTAGTAAAGTCCATAGATGACCAGAGCCCTGCCTAACACATTTACTGCAACCATGAGGCCTTCAGCCAGAACCACCCAGCTAAGCTGCTTCCAAATTCTGACTCTTAGAAATTGCGAGGTAATGAATATTGGTTATTTTAAGCTGCTGAGTATTAGTTAATTTGCTATGCAGTAATGATATCTAATGTAGTAGGTAATACCTATGATTCTTTATCTCAGTTCTCTTCTTACTATACACACTCTTTTTGGGTGAACTTATTTTTTTTAGAGGTACATGTATCTTTTCATTTCCTTTATTTCTTTTAATTCTAGGATAGCTAACATACAGTGTTATATTAATTTCAATATAGTGATTTAATAATTCCATACTTAGTTTCAATATAATGATTTAATAATTCTATACATTACTCTGTGCTCATTGTGATAAGTGTACTCTTAATCTCCTATATCATATATAGTTCTACATCTAAAATGCTAGCACTTTACATATCAGACTTACATTTATAGTTTCCCCCCAAATATCTCTACCTAACAACTCCTTGTGTTTCAACACTTACTAAATTTTTATGTTCCTCTTCCAAATCTCCTTCCACTTCGATCTTCTCTTTCACAGTTAAGGGAAGTATTAGCCTTCTTATTTCGATGATTCAAAATCCTAGACTCCTCTGTCTCCAACTTGAACCTCACCAGGTACTTTATGTCGAGGATAGTTGTATCAATTCTTTACTAACATCTCCTCAATCTATTCCTTTCTTTGTTGTATCACTGCTTATTTCTAATTCATGTAACTAACTGTTATCCTACACTAAAACAATGGTTTCCCCCATCCCTATCTCTTCCTGCTGCCAATACTCTTCTTCCTTAAAGTACTGATCAGATTGCTGTCTGGAGAAAAAGTCAAAACTTCTGAGGATAGCATCCAGTCAGATTCCATCTGCTCCTTTCAGTTTTAGCCCCAATCACTTTTCACTACACACTTATCCTGTATGCTAACCAACTCAGCGCATCTCTCAAAAATATGCTATTTTACTCTGGATTTTGTTTTAAAGGCTAAAATGCCCGGAACAGTCTCTTTTCCTCAAGACTCCACCTGAATTAGGCTATCCCCAACTTAGCCTTCCTTGATCCTTCCCAAGTAGAATCCAACATGCTTCTTTTTGATGGTAAGGTTGTGTCTCTGCTCTGAAATAGCACTTACTATGGCTGACTAGTACTGTAAGAGGGATGAGTCATCCCCTAACTAAAGAGTCTTTCTCCTGACTAAACCCTGAGCTCCTTGAAGGCTTGTCTGTGCTAGTTTCCTTATAACAGTATGCAAATGATAAACATGTCAATAAATGTAGGTTGAAGTAAGTGTGTACAGTCGACTTATGTGTTACTAAAGTAAGAATCATTGGAATTTTTAAAAAGTCAGCTTATAGAAGCATTTTTTAGTGTTGACTTTAACAAAATGACAATTATGGAGAAATGAAGCTATGTACTTTTTATAATACTTTGGTGTGTTCAAGTAAATCTCAAGCAGTATGGAATTGAAAAACTTCATATCCTGCTCATCTAGGTAGAATATCTTTTATCATTATGAATAGTTTGTACACATCACAAAAAAAATGGAAATATATTTCAGTGATGGAAAAGGCAAGTTATCTAACAACAACATTCTGGACACATTGCTCTCTTCGATTAAGTCATTTAGGCCTCCTTTTTAAAATAAACTTAAGAACATCTGTTACATCAACAAACATAACCAGTTCAATTAGCTTTTCAGGGGGACATTGTAACTTGGACTTCAGTTATAAATTGTATTTGCATGTTTAGAACATACCTATGAGGTTCATCAAATTGAAACTTTCCTATGGAACTAAAACCATGCACAGGGTATGCGTGATTCGCCATTAAAAGATGATTTCATTCAATTGCCATAAACAGAAAATCAGCAAGAACAAAAGAAACAGAACTTACCTATTGTGCTAACTCTGGCTGAAGGACTAGCTAATGCTGCTGGGACAGAGGCTTTGAGGGGGCCTGCCCCACTGTTTATTCTCAGAGCTGGCATATGGGGAGAGGTGGGTGATGTGGGTGATTTGCCATCAGAGGTCTTGGGTTTAGCTGATAGGTTCAGTGGCTGTGCCACTTCATCCTGCAATGATCATTAGAACATGAGCTGTGATAAGGCACGGCTGATCAAAAATGCCTAGAAAAACACAGGTATACAGCCTGTCATTTCCCACCAAATTACTCTATCAATCAGTGGTCTTAACATTCAACCTGAACATTAGAGTGTCTGGTTAGCTGTCAACAATGTCACTTACAACTACATATTATGAAAAACCTTTTGTATAAAAGAAAGTACACGTGCAGTCAACTATCCAGAAAGTATATAACTGATGTACCTATAAGAAATATTCTTAAGCTACTCCTTGTACTATTCATTTATGCTGAGAGGCAATTACATAATTCATGCAAAATTATGATGTAGGTAGTTTTTTTTCAACCTCAAAATAACAGGGGTTGAGTCCCAAGCACCTTTGTACCCTAGTGCTTAAGACAGAGTACCTGGAATATCCATGATGGAGGAGTTAATTGGTGTGTACCTCTGATCAGAACTGCTCTCCAAATTAATTACAAAAAAAAAGAAGGAAACTTTCTGTCTTAGAAAATAATCTTTTCTCTTAGGTTTCACAGAAACAGTTTTGGATTTCATCTAAAAATGAAAATAAACATAATTGACATTATACCAATTTGTGCTATTTATATGCGACACTGTTCTAAACACTTAGCGTTACATTTTTAAATCTAAATTTGTTTTCCAGATTTTCCTTACAATGTATGCCACAATCAATACATTGTGGTATGAAGATATTTATGTAGTTAATTCAGAACATCTGATGAGTTCCAATTGTTCAATATTTGAATAGGTCAAGTTTATGTAGTTTTTATTCTATTTTATACCTTTCTATGTTAGCCTTTGTGTGATATCATACCAAAAATTTATGTATACAATTATCATCAAAATTTCTACCACATTTATAAGAATCAGATAATATTAACATTACATCACTTTTTCCATCACAAATTGAGAAATTTATTCCTCTTTTGTGCTCTAAAATGGAAATATCACGTTTATACTTTATTTCTTACAATACCTACAATTTTACATGTAGTAATATTGTAGAATAAAAATTTACTTTCCACTTTGTTACTGTTCTATCTTCGTGAGTTAAGAACATAAACTATCTACTGGTAGTAGCAAGATAACTTGCTGAAAGTGGAACAATTTGGAAAAATGGTGTGATTTGATGGAATGGAAACATATTAATGTGTACAAAATTTTATATATATATACCAAAAACCATTGAAATCAATCACTTTATAAAAATGGTAAAATGGCATAATATGACATCTATTTAAAGTTTATATTTTTAAAGTGGTTTATTATTAAATTCCATGGTTGGCTGCACCTAGCAAACTTGTGAACAAACAAACTAGAAGAAATTACTCTTTAACATTTTTTTAAAATTCTGTTTTCTGTTTCAGGAAAAAAAGAACAGCTATCTGAAAATCTATGAGAATTCAAAGAGCAATCTGAGATCACATTAGATGTGTAGTAAGTTGATGACCATCATACCAAATTTATATGGATTCATAGTCTTGGAAGAAAGGAAGGTAAGCTAATTCCATGACTGGTTCACTATATAATTAAGAAAAGTTTACTTTAGCATTGTAAAAACTGCAAGGGCAAAATTATTCATAGATCTTTCAATCTGGAACATTTGGTTGAGGTGGTGAGCTATAATCCTTATATATGAGGTTATGGTTGACAGAAACCCAAAAGTATTGTGCCCCTTCTGCCCATACTGCAGTACAGAGGGGTACAAATGTGATCCTTGGATCAGTACCATCAGCACCATTTGGGAACTTATTAGAAAAGCAAATTCTCTATTCTAGAAACTTTGGAGGTGGGTTCTAGCAACCTGTTTTAACAAGCATTCCAGATGATTCTAATGCACACTAATATTTGAGAGCCATCACCATATACCATATAAAGATAGTTTTAAAAAAAATATTTAACTTCAAATTCTTTTTTTTTTTAAAGCTTCCTCAATGTAAGGAGGTAACATTAAAAAACACATGATGGGGCGCCTGGGTGGCTCAGTAAGTTAAACATCCTACTCTTGATTTTGATTCAGGTCATGATCTAATGGGTCCTGAGATCAAGCCCCAAGTCTGGTTCTGGTCAGCATGTTTCTCTCCTTTTCCCTTTCCCTCTGTCCCCCCACCCCAGCTCGTGCTTGCTCATGCACACTCTCTTTCTCTCTCTCTCAAAAAACATAAGTCTTTAAAAAAATACATGATTATCTCATTCTTTAAGATTTTATCAAAGCATAACGTACACTAATAACAATAAATGAAAACATGCATATGTATAATAAACTAAATGCTACTGACATTCAGTAGGCCAATAAAGATTAGGATCCAGATTTTCTTCCTGTTAATTCAGTTTAAATATCCTGTCAGATAGGAGCTTTACTGACTGTTTACCATGCAGCTGTAAATACTCTAGACACTTTATCCTTTATCAAATTTACCTGCTTACTGCTTTCTGTATGAAACTACTGCCTTTTGTCATGATAGCCTGAAAACTTCCTTGGGCAGTATTCACAACTCTTGCAAAAGTTTTGAGGGAAGACTTGGAAAAATTAAGGTGGTTGTTTCACTTGACTGTGCAGAAAAAAAGAGAGGATGGAATATATTCCCAGAGTTGCAAGAGAAGAGATTTATGAGCACAAAGGAAATAGAGCGTGAGTGTGTATGTGTAGGGGGAATGATGGTGTTGACGAAGATGATGCAGATGTAGGTGCTGATGGGATCTGAAGCATATGAAATGTCATATGCTTAGCTTTAAGCACTAAGAACTATTACATACACGTACTGAAAAATGACTACCCAAAGCATTTATTAGAGCAAGAGACCCACTGGAACTCTTAATATTCTCCTCCATTCAAGGCAGCACAGATGTCTGAAAGCCAAAAAGTGCAAAGCCCCAAGGACATAATAGAGGTTGACAGTTCCCAAGTTGATAGAAATGTCATTCAAAATTGCCCTTTCGTTCTCTTTCATTGTGTGACCTGGCTAATGGTATATTAATAAGAACCCACATGCTTGATCCTTATAGTGGTAACTATACAAATAATTTTGACCCATTATATGATATTATTTCACAATTTGGTTCTTCTAATAATTTACTACTGAGCTACTATACCAAATACCTATTATTCATGAAGAATACAAAAATTACAGTAGTTTTCCCATTTTCTATTAATTATTTTTCATTTGACTAGATGAAAAATTTAAAATCCTAACTATAAAATGAAGGTGGAGTATTTATTTATGACCTGCATTCTCCTAATTATGAATATGCACAATAAATGCCAAAGGTTAAGTTTTTTTCCCGAAGGTTTTTCTACTTTATTTTTTATTTGCAAGAACTTATTTAGGAGAAATTTGAAAGCTTAGCATGATTAAACCCTACTCTTACAAATAAAGCATGCATTCTAAAATTGTAAATAAATAATTTTTTTATAAAAGAATATAAGTAATTTTCAAGGTCAAGAAAGCATTGGAAAAATAGCATTTCTATGAAGTACACTGTAAAGTGATAAAAAAAAAACAATTTCTCTTTAATTACTTGTCCAATCATTAAATGATGTTTCCATTTGAAAATTTTGAAAATAGCATATTTCATAATTAGTTAATTTATACACAAAGTGAGAGTTAAGAAGAATCTTATGTATCTGTCAAATAGTTCCAAAGTGGATATGCTAGCCTAATATAAATATAAGGCAAATGTTTAAGAAAACGTGTAAGCTAAGGTAAGTAAGTTTTAACTGAAAGGTTATTACCTACATTTATAGAATTCATTATAATATTTCAAATCATCTATTTAATCTTCAGTTCTATGAAGTAATTAATAATCTCAGAAAGGAAACTAAAACAAAGTTCTAAAGAAACCCAGGTTGTTAGACTCATCATACAATATTCTTTTTAGTTATATAACAAATTTAATCTTAAATTTAAAAAGACATTGGTGAAATGGAATTTCTGAAATTCAGACTTAAATATGTAATTCTTTATATGAAAAAAACACACATAAAGGTCAATACATGTGCAATAAAATGAAGTAACATACGCATTCGCTATTGATATACCAGCTTAAAATTTAAGGTACAAATGTTGATTTCTTTGGTGACTTTTTTTGTGCTTCTCTGTTCTCTATACTACATCGCATCAAAAAGGTCATTTGGTAGTGCTAAAGAGCTAAAATTCCAGGAGTCCACATCCTATATATCAGAAAATACAAGAATTCATACAAAAATGCATAAGAGAATAATATTTCATATATATAAACATAAGTTCTAGGAACCTATTTATGATTATAACTTCTAATATTGTCTAATTTTACTCATCTGGGATAGAATGCAAAACAAGTATAATCTAAACAAACATAAAGTTCAGGCATGTTCCACTTACAGCTACTACGACTTGTCTGAAAGCAAACATCTAACTAATGTCAACTTGTCTTCATTGTAGAAATATTGTGGAGGTGTAATGAATTTATGTCTTGTAGAAATATTGTGGAGGTATAATGAATTTATGTCTTAACCACTGAAAATAAATATCTCACAGAGATAAATAATAAATTTGGAAAAAGAAAATTACTTGACATAAACATACAGCCTTAGATGCACTGGAGAAATACAACTGTAATCAGGAATGCAGAATTATTCCACATAAACGTAACAAAAACTATAAAAAACTTTAAAAAATAACTATGTAAATTTAAAATATATTTTACTTAGACGATTTTCAAATAATAAGTTTATTCTAGGAAAAACATGTTAGTCTAACATAATTGTATGATAGTCTTAATTTTTAATGTGTGAAGACCAAATGGCTCATAGAAATCGATAATTTATCAAAGAAAAATCATTCTCTAGAGTCCTGGAGGTTTATTTCTCTCCCCTCATTCCTAAGTCTTTCTTCTTTTTAATTTTTTTAAATTTATTTTTTATTTTTGCTAAGGAAGCTTAATAGAGTACTAGAAAACAGGAATACCAGTATCCTAAAGAATTCTACTCC